TCAAGGGTCGTATATACTGATCCAATAGCATATCTTGAAAACTAGAGCCAATCAACAATTTTAAGCATCATTTTTGTTCTCAGTGACCCAGAATTAGTAAAGTTTGACTACATTTATTTCAGAAGCATTTTGGCTGTAGAGCAGTGTAATATGAAGTGTATCAAGTAGTATGACATTTATTAAGCCCTAACGGCTTTGCATATTTGTTCTTTATATACTTGCAACTCCTGCTGATTTTTTTAGCAAACATGCAAATAGTGTTTCATTTCATTTGTTTGTTAAATGCATCCTAACTACTCTAATTTTAATAAAACAACTATGGTAACTTTCCAATTTGTTAAACTAAGGTATTTAGGTTTTATATTGTTTTCTCAGACAGAACGCTGGGTTATAAATACAAACACTTCTTGTAATACCCTAACCTAATGTGCGTAAACACTACAGATACTATTGTACCAAAGCTTTCAACAATCTTCCATTCTTTCCATCGTCTGAGCAAAGATGGATTTTTCCATAATATCATAAAACATTCATAAACAATAATGTTTTGTTTATTATGATTGGTATGTTTAAAATTACTTGCAAAGTGTCTGAAACTAATTTATCCCAGAGCTGCGTGGCATCACTAGAGAAAAGACAATGCAAATCACTTTTAAATTTGCTATCAGACTGTTACTGCTTGTAATGGCAGCTGAAGGTGATGCTTAAGAAAATTGCGCCCCTAAGGCACTGTGTGTGCATGTCTCTCTCATTCCTTGGACATTATGGGTATTTTAAAGCTGTACTTTCTCAAAGTATCTAACTTGCTTGCAATGAACATTTTATTGTGGGGGGGGGGGATGTGTAAGGGTAGTGGGGGGGAATAATTTAATATTTGTCCCAAATGCTATTTTTGGCTGAGGATATAAAGCCATGTTAGGCAACTTTATAGTGAATTGTACATACAGATTAATCTTCCCTAATGATGTCCTGCCAGAATGGAAATGCCTAGTTACACAAAAAGAGCAGAAAAATGTCTGTATATGGTCCTACCACCCATAACCTTTGTGAATGGGAATTTTTCCACTGGAGATGGGTAAAGTCCTTAATACACTAATGTGCAGAAGACCCAAGTTCATGACTCTAGACGCATGCCTAATTCTAGACCAGTGAATATTGTAAGGGCTGGGGAGGGAGAGCTAGTGATTTAGAATTGGGAAGGGTTCTCCTACTTCTAGATGCATTAGCATGCTGTGATAATGGGTCTGATTAAATTAAAAATAAAATAAAACCCTGTCAAAGCAGGATAATAATGCCGTCCCAGCTTTGTGTGGCACTTTGAGGTCTACAGAGAAAAGCGTTGTATAAGCACTAGGTATACTTTAAAATCAATTTGGATGAGGGACAGGATTGGGACTGACGATTTTGGAGGGCTATTTCGATTAAGTAAGGCCTACTGATAACTGCAAAAAAGCTCGGACTGGAAGCTTGCTGCCTGAGGCTTTTTGTAAGCAAACTGAGTGCGGCAGGTCTTAACGCTACCTCTTCATCAGTCAATCTAGTTAGTTTTAGTTCTCATGCTGGACAGCAAGGAGGCAACAAAACCCGTTATGTACCACCATGTTGTTCTGTCTTGAGCCGGATCCGGTGCATTACAGTGTTGGATGCCTGTCAGGGATAGGTGTCTGATTTAGCTCTTCTAAGGCCAGGTCTACACTAACCCCCTAATTCGAACTAAGGTACGGAACTTCAGCTACGTGAATAACATAGCTGAAGTTCGAAGTACCTTAGTTCGAACTTACCTTGGTCCACACTCGGCAGGCAGGCTCCCCCGTCGACTCCGCGGTACTCCTCTCGCCGAGCTGGAGTACCGCAGTCGACGGCGAGCACTTCCGGGTTCGACTTATCGCGTCCAGACTAGACGCGATAAGTCGAACCCAGAAGTTTGATTGCCAGCCGCCGAACTAGCGGGTAAGTGTAGCCAAGGCCTAAGGGTCTTTTCCATCCTCCCTTTCATTGTGTCAAAGCTGAAGTTGATTCTTGCAGGGAAGTTGGTAGGCAATCGGATTAAGTTTTATAGGTCACGAATCAGTGGGTGGCAAAAAAACTAACTGGCTTCAGGACTGAGCTTGATAAGTTTATGGAGAGGATGATGAAATTGCCTACAATGGCATGTGGTCCACTGGTGACTGCCAGTAGCAAAAATCCCCAATTGCTGTAAATGGGACACTAGATGGGGAGGGCTCTGAATTACTATATAGAATTCTTTCCCAGGTAGCAGCCGGGCTGGTCTTGCCCATATGCTCAGGATCTAACTGATCACCATATCTGGGGTCAGGAAGGAATTTTCCCCCAGGTCAGATTGGCAGAGACCCTGGGGGCTTTTTCACCTTCCTCTGCAGCATGGGGCATGGGTAACTTGCAGGTTTAAACTAGTGTAAATGGTGATGTTTTTGAGTATTTAGTCAAGCTTTCATTTTACATTTCAAAGGCTTTAACTGCTTTTCCTTCTTTTCGATACCTCTAACAGAAGGTTGAAAAGTTGTGGGGTTTTTTAAATGTTGTGTTTGCCATGGTATTAAGCAGGTTGAGGTCTCTGGAACAAACCTTGAACCTTGTTTAACCCTGTTTAATGTTGGAAAGTTACAGGATCATGCTTACACTGACTCTTTGAGCCCATATATTCCATCAAAATTAACACAACAGGTCACCAGCAGATTGGGCCCCATTGTGCTAGGTGCTAGACAAATATATGATCATTGACAATCGCTGCCTCAAAGATCTTACAGTCTAAACAAGACCTAGCAGGCGAGGAGACGAAGAAGCAGGCTGGGATGAAGTGGGGTAGAAGGGCTAACAACTAAATGTAAGAGGATACACTATTCTTAGTCAATAGTAGCAATAACTGCTCTCCACTGCTTAGCTGTTATCAAATTGTATTTTCTTGTTTGTGATTGCAGAAGAGGTTTGTTTTGAGGAGGAGCTTGAAAGAACATGGTGGTGGCTTTTTCCTGCCTATGATATTGGCCTGTTGCATGACCTAAGGTGAGTCACTTCATCCCTTTTCCCCTCACTTTCCCATATATATAGTCCTTTGCAACCCAGGGATGAAAAATGTTGTATGAGAACTAGGTATTTCTGTTTCTAGATCTTGCTTTTAGGAAGTTTTTCCTAATATTCAGCATGAATTTTCTGCTGAATTTCATCCCCATTACAACTAGTTCTGTAAACTTGAACTATGCTAAATAAGCATCTCTCCTTCCTTGATGTTCATACTTTGTGGATATTTGTAGGTCGTTGTCATGGATTTTTATATTCGTTGCTATGATGTGAGAAGGCTAGGGATGAAGAACTTGTTCAAGTTCAATCATATATAACTCTTATAGTGGCACACTCAGGAGCTAACACTGTGAATTGCAATGGTAGCGGATGCAGAGAGACAATATGAACAGCTTTATGATTTCACAAGGTACTCCAGAGGGAGATGCTGATCTCATGACGATTGAGAGAGGTTGCCACGTTTGGAAAATTTGCTAGGATCACAGACTGTAGCGTCTGTAAAATGTGATTGTCACTGATTGCATCAGCCCTAATCATAGTGTAATCTTGTTTGCACCCTATTTAATCTTTCTGTCATCTAGCAGCTTCATTCCATTCTTGTTAGATAACACAATGGCTCGCTAATGGGTTGTCAGGGGGTCTGATTTGTTTTTTCCAAAGTTAGCAGAAATCTGATGGCCCTCTCAAATAGCAAAGCTTTTAGTATTTGGCAAACTTACTGCATTTTATTGCAATCTCTTTGGTTCTTATTTGTACGAGGGATATATTAAAGCAGTGGGCGTACACTAAGGTCTTCCAGGGGTACACCAACTCATCTAGATATTTGTCTAGTTTTATAACCGGCTACATAACATGCTCTAGTGAAGTCAGTACAAACTAAAATTTCATTTGGACAATGATGTGTTTATACTGTGCTATATACTATACACTGAAATGTAAGTACAACATTTATATTCCAATTGATGTATTTTATAATTACATGGTAAAAATGAGAAAGTCAGCAATTTTTCAGTAATAGTGTGCTATGACACTTTTTTGTATTTTTGTCTGATTTGGTACGTAAGTAGTTTTTCAGTGAGGTGAACTTGGGGGTACCCAAGACACATCAGACTCCTGAAAGGGGTACAGTAGTCTGGAAAGGTTGAGAGCCACTTTAATAAAGTAGTGAAATTAGTAACAATATAACAAAAACAAATGTTCAATATGTGAGCTAACAGTGAATATTTAATGAACAGATAATGAAATCCCACAGACATTCCTACACATTTCTTATTTCAAGGTTAACAGTGAAAGTAAATGTTGGTGCTATTGTGTAAAAGATTCCTAATATTTTAAGATAATTTGATAGAAGATTGTGATATTTGTAGCAAAGGACATATGAGAGAGAGAGAGAATAGATTGGTTTCTCCTACTTCTTAGGCCCCCCTTCAGCAAAGCACCCGGGGTCTGTCTTCACTGCAGAGTTAACTCAGGGTCTTACTTGGATGTTGCCCCAACCCCTCTCCTATGCACACATCAAGCTTCTCACTTGAATTTAATGGTGTTTTTAAACCCAGACTAGCTGGCCTTACTGGGGGTGTAGGCTAGAGCCTGGGTGCCACTTTCTTTCAGGCTGGTAACCCTCCCACTTTGCAGTGAGGACACCAGCTAAAACACTCATGTGCTGATAGTCCTCCAGTGCCTTCCCACAGTTTCCCCTCCTTGTGCCCAGAAGGGCAGACACGTTGCCCCATAATTCACTGGGAAAGAATCAGAGCAGCTCATCTTATTGCAGCACAAAAACCGTGCCCCTAGGATTGCTCGTGACAGACACGTGAGAGTGCATCACCAGTGAGGAGGCTTTGCTGCTCAAACTTGGGCTAGGCTAACCTGGGCACCTTCATCTGAGTTAGTTTGGCAGTATCCCTGGGGCTTGTCCACACATAGAATTATTCTGGAATAGCTACTATGCTTTAAATTCACATCCTGCCTTAATCTGAATTAAGTTTTGATGTAGACAAGCCCTTAATATGTGCTTTTAAGTGCTTTGTTGTCAACAAATTGTTGAATCTCAGAGTTAATCTTGGTTCCCACTGGTTTAAAGACCTATTTGCTAGTAGGGTTGCCAATTTTTCAAAATGGGACACTATTTTGTAGTTCACCGGGGAGCGGAGGGGGGAGGGGGGCAGAGAGAGCAGGAGGCTGAGCAGTTGGAATGGGCTGTCACAGGTGGCGAACCCAGCCACTGGCCCAGCTCCTCAAACTCCATACGCGTGCATCAGGATCCCCCCCCCTCCTCCAGCCCCAGCCGCTCTTCCCACCCTGCCAGTGGCGGAGGCCGATAGCGGTTAATATGGTAATTGGATTTTTGGTGTCCAGTCAGCAGTACTGACCGGACACTGGACAGTCCCCTTTTGACAGGACTTTCCGGTCGAAAACCGGACACCTGGCAACCCTATTTGCTACTGTAGTATACCTGGCAGAAAATGAGGGATTTGTAAGCCGGATACCCCCTTCACTTCCTCTTACTCAACCCAGCGTAAACCTTTACACTGTAAAGATGTGAAAAATACACAGAGGCCTTCACATCCCTTCTCCAGATTCCTGCCATGACAGAATAACCTGCTGTTGAGTCATTCTTCCCCTAAGTAGGAGTGCTGGTAGCAAGGATGTTCACTCATCTTGCATCTCTTTGAAATCACCCTCCTGACCATCAGCTTCACTGACAGGGGAGTGTACTTGAGAGAGAACACGTTAACAGTGTCAGCCCATGGCCTGAATTTTCTAAAAGGTTTCCCAGAACCCTGACATCTGGCAGAAGTGGTCCCAACAGGAACCATGAGCTGTTTTCTTAGAAGTTTGTATCATTTCAGAGTGAAACTTGTGATTTGATGGTGGTTTGTTTTGTTTCAAGTATCAGGGGGTAGCCGTGTTAGTCTGTATCTACAAACAGACTAACATCTGTTGCATCCGAAGAAGTGAGGTTTTTACTCACGAAAGCTTATGCCCAAATAAATCTGTTAGTCTTTAAGGTGCCACCAGACTCCTTGTTGTGTTTGTTTTGTTTGTTTGTTTGTTTGTTTTTTTAACTGCATGGGATGGATTTAGGGCAAGACTTTTCTAAATGGAGCAGTGAAACTTTCCATTCTTATCATTTGTGGCCATGCAGGATTATTGTTAATACTATTTATTTGGGTCATTGATGAGTTCATCCTGAGGGGGCTAAAAAACAAATTAATATAATTGAAAAGAGTTGGGAATATTGTGTGATTAGAATTGACTCAAGCAGGTGACCTAAGAGACAGAGCAATTGACTTGATTGAAATAGTTTGGTACCTGCCTTTTGGTGCTTATTAATTTTCACCTTTTTTTCCTTTTCTTCCCCTCATTGCTCCCTGGGGAATGGTTACTTTACTTTTGCTATTATCTAAGAGTATTGCTTGCCATGTGGCTGAGCTGGAAATCTCCAATAAGAGCTAATTTGCAATCAGAATAATGACAGTATGTGCTACACCTGCAGCAAGTGTTTTGGGTTATAAAAAGCTGCTGTTGACTGTCAGTGACATTTGGAAGGCATTAGGATACCAGCTGGTAGAGAAAATGTATGCACACAACTAGGCATTTTTGCTTTAAAATATAAATAAAATAAAATGATTTAAATTGACAACAGAAAGACATCAGGACTGAAGAGAAATTGGAAAGAATGATAGAAGGAGAAGCTTAATGGTCTGAATGCTTTAAACAGTTTAGGGTTTGATATTTTTCCATTTGAAGTTAATACATATTTCATTTTTTTTTTTCAAAACCTTGAAAGGAATTTTAACCAGGAGCGATGGTAATGGATGTAGGTCAACCTAGATAGATTGGATTTATGGGCAAAAATGCTTGCAGCAGGACAAGTAGTTTCTTTTCTGCTCTCTCTCTACAATATTACATTGTTTTGCCTTTCAAACACTGTTGATTTTATTTTGTTTTGTTTCCATTTTAATTCCCACCAGAAAAAGCTCTTTCTATAGCTGTTTGTAATGATTGCAAGACTGTTATAGTACAATAAAAAGGTATCGATTTATGGGATTATAACGTAACTAATTGGTAATATACATGTTAGCAATTAATAGCAGTTAAACGGGTAAATGCATTGGAGTGTAGGTAGCCATATATGGCTTTTTTGCATTTGATTAAGATGATGTTGAAGTGATGATGAGGCTTTGCTGACTGCAAAAGCTGCTTTTTCCATCAGATTCTGATTTCACACCCATTTTACCCTGATAGAACGCCTTTGACTTCGCTTGAGCTGTGTTGCTATGAGTGAGATCCCAGTCCGTCCATTAGACTCATATGGCTGTAGAATACCTAGCATCTTTCATCAATAGCTTTCAAAGCACTTTACAACAGAGATCATTATTCCGGATTTACAAATGGGGAAACTGAGAGACAGAGAAGAGAAGAGACCTGCCCCAGGTCACCCAGCAGGTCGGTGGCAGAGCCGAAAATAGAACTTGAGTCTGTCTAGTGCTCTATCCACTGGGCAAGATTGCCTGCCCTCCTACTGAAAAATCCTACGTCAAAAAATGTACATGATGACCGGCATGGATATTCCTGCCCCGCCCCATCCTAGGAGTGGGATTAACAGCAGTGGGGAATAGGGAGGGGATGTGGCCTTCTAACCATGTGGAGCTTTAGAACCTGCAGGGAAGCCCAGTCCCCATCCCATAGTCCTCAGCATTCCTTTGTGGTGTACCCTCCCCTTCTGTGCTGCTCATTGATTGGATTCCCCACTGCACATGGTTCTGCTCTCTGGTGGGAGTGGAAGCGTCCGATGGAAATGTGCGGCTGCAACAGGCGATAATTTGCTGCGTGAGTTGCAGAGTGTCGCTACAAGCGCCTGCTCCCCCACCTAAACAGCCCCCCCTCTTTGAAGTTGGAGAAAAGTGTATATAAAGGACTGGGCAGTTAAGTGTGGTGGCTATGTAGGAGTGGAGGACACTATCTATGTACCACAAGTG